CTCACTTCAACATAGATTCTAACGACTTTTTACCCACTACTACCTAGAAAGACCCAAACAAACTACAAAACCCGTTGACACAATTGGCCAAAAGTCGACACCGTGCTCAACATATTTATTACACTTTTAAATGGCGGCATCTGGTGGATGCAATGAGAACTACCTTTAAGCAGATATCCTGATATCTGTATTAATTCATGGCTGAACTTTTTTGCTTCCTGGTAATGGTGTTAATAATGTTAATATAAATAAATTATTTTCAAAAACAAATGTCTGACGTTTAAAACTGTAATCTGTTAAACAGCCATTCTGATGCATAGCAGATATTAAAACCTGTCTGAGCTGAATGTTGAGTAGTTCTACCTCAAAATATGATACTGTACTTTAGGATGTTTTTAACATAAAAAAAAGATAACGTGGGAAGGGTCTGTGCTTATGTACCGGGTCTTTGCTCATGTTACTTTAAATTGTAAAATTGAGAGGAGATTGTTTTGCACCTTTGTTTTTCAGTTAAACAATTTTTAATAAAAATAAAAAAACGTAAACAGTGATTGACCTCTTTCTCACTTCTTCTCCAGTTTTGGAGAAGACCCACTCAAATGGTACCGATGCTGCTGCCATTAACAAATATTTTTATCATGCTAATTTATGTAAATTGGGATAGGTGAGTATAGACTAATATTGGAGTGGGTCTTCTCCTCTGCAGAGGTAGGGCTCCTATATATGTTTGAATTTACACTATGGCATGTGCTGTCAGGCTTTGGGTTTTCCAGGTCACACCCACAACAAAATAAATACAATAAAATATCTTTGAAATTGTTCTGAAGATATTATGATGATTGAAATGATTCTAACCAACTCTGCTGTCCGTAGTTCACACAGGTTTTTCACGTTCCTCATGTGGTTCTAAATGATAACAATGATCATATTAAAGGAGAAGCATCAATAACTAATTGATGCAGCCTCCAGAGACTCTCCCTCGTATCAGGTCCTGCAGCAGGCCTCCTGAGACTCATCCTCGCTTCCGGCCCCATGGCCGGCCTCCAGAGACTCTTCCTAATCAATCTTCTGAGATTTTTTTTGCCCTCGCCCACTTTAGGTGGGTTGTTTTTGGTATTGGACTTGGTTATTTTGGTTTCTTGCCCTCCTTGCCTGTTTCCCCCTCCGCCCACCCTGGGTGGGTTGTTTTTTGTTTTGGACTCTGTTTTGGTGTTTTCGTTCCCTCCTTACCTGGTGCCCCCTCCGTCCACCCTGGGTGTTTTTTTTTGTTTTTTTTTCTTTGACTGATCTGGGGCGTCTGGTATCCGCTCTTGAGGGGGGGGTGCTGTTGGGATCCGGAGGTTTGCCCACCAGAGGGCACCAAGGATCCCTTCCTGAGGGCTTGTGCTCACCTGCAACACCTGTCTTTCATCTCCTCATCAGCCGTGGGCCTACTAAAGGAGGAGGACACTAACACTCCAACGTCAGAGTGTTTGCCAGTAACGGTTAGCAAAACCTGAGCCAACCTGCCTGTCTGAGTCTTCTGACTTTTTAATGACCCAAGCCTGATCCTGTTTCCCCTTTCTGTCTCACAGATAAAACCAGCCTGACTACCAGTAACTCTGGAGAGTTATCTCTGCTGTGATTTGCCTGCCCGCTCTCTGTTGAACTCTGGAGGGCCTCTTCTGTCAGCTGCTGCCTGCCCGCCCTCAGAGGAAAACTTGGAGAGAGACACAGTCTGCGATCTACCTGCAAGCATACAGTAAGCCCTGCACTCAGACCGTCTCAACCCAGCTCTCAAGAGAGAGAGAGAGAACCATACCTGGAGTCTGCCAGCCTGCACACTGACCATCTCAACTCAGCTCTCAGGAGAGAGAGAGATCAAAACCTGGAGTCTGCCAGCCTGCATTCAGACAGTCTCTGCCCAGCTCACTAGAGAGAGAGAGAGAGAGCTCATCTGGAATCAACCTGCCAGCACTCAGACTGCCTGCGCCCAGCTCTCAGCTCTCCTCCTGCCTGAACTGTGTTCTTAACCTGGAACCTGCCCGCCAGCACTCAGACTGCCTTAGCCAAAGCTCTCAGTTCTCCTCCTGCCTGCACTCAGCTCAACCTCTGCTAGCCCTCAACCCTCAGTCTGCCAACAGCCTCTGGATCCACAAGGTTTTCCCCCTCTCTGCAGCTCTGCTCATCTCCTGATCAGCGGTGAACCAAATCCAGATCAGTCTCCCTAACGCTGGACTATTATTTACATTTCTTAAATAAACCTTTAAAATTTTCTCCTGCCTCCGAGTGTTCTGGATATGGGCTAGGTTCCATTAGCCATCATGACACATATATCCCAGCCCAATTGCTGGTAACCATCCTAACAATCTGTGTCCTCCACAATACCACCATATACCAGCTCTATTTACTGTTAATACAGTAAAAATTACCATCTCCAGTAATGTCAACAGAAGTCTTGCAATACTTTTTATCTAATTGCCCCACCTGAATGATTTTTGTAGCAGTATTTTTGATCAATAATACAGGTAACATTGGAAGTCTGGGATGCTGTATTTTGAGGAGCAGAACGATAAAGGCTGAGCATCAGGCTGAGCATGCATTATCTAAATTATTCTGATTTTACTTGTAATAGGCAGGCCTATTCCAATCAGACCTAGACAAAGCAGAAGAAGATAAACTTTAGCCGACTATATGAGAAAAGTATTGCAGGAAAAAGAAGTGTCAAAAGCAAGTTTACTGCCGAATGATTCTGTCTCCCAACAGGAACCACTCAGCATTAAGCTAGGAGACTGGGTGTTCATCAAACTTGTGTAAAGCGTATACTGAAACCAGGCAAGTTCCCTATCATAAACGTTCATGCTATGTCTAAGAGACTGCGTAATCGAAACTAACGTCTGCTGTTGTAATGTGTTGACTGCTCAATAAAAAGCCTGGCAAATGTTGGGCCAAGCGGAGATGCAGAGATTGATTCTTCAACTCTGCCTATCTCCCCTTTGCAAAGCACTGTCAGGAAAAATCTTACACTGTCTTTGTTTCATTTTTTACAGGTTAAATTTGGGGAAACTTAACAACCCTAACACTCTGCCCGATGTTGGGCCCATAGGCCGAGACAACGATGAGAGGCCTGTCCCCAACCTTCTTGTTGACCGGGGTAAACTCCAACATGTGACGACTATGATGGGGGGCAATGAGCAAGGCCACCCCAGCTGTGGAGTGAGTGATCTCTTCTGGCATCATTTGCCAGGGTAACAGTATTAGAGCTAATGATTTAAAAAGGCTCACCCAGCTAATAAACAAAGCTGGCTCTGTTCTAAGAACTCCTCTAAAACCTCTGGAGATTGTTTTAAAAAGAAGAAGATCTTAATAAGGTGAAGAAAATTACAAACAACAGTGAGCTCCCTCTTCAGAACATTTTTAAACAACAACAAAATGTCTTCAGTTAAAGGCTTCTCCACATCAGGTGCAAGACAAGACAGATACAGTATCCGTTCTGCCTACAAATATTATTAATAATTAATCTCAATTAAAAAAAAACGTTATGTGTTACTGCAACATTTAATTTACCTTTTGAGATAATAAAGTACTTTTGGGTTGAATTACATTGATGGCCAGATATACAAAAGATTTACCAAAGAGCACTGTTTTGCACTTTAGTGGATCATTAAACAAAGTAATCACCCCTCTGCCTTTTTTAAACAGCCTGTCATGATGAAGAAAATGTAATTAGGAGGTGTGGTCTCCAGTAAAATCGATATCTCATTTTCACCTAACAATATTTCTGTTAGGAACATAAAATCAAGATTTTGCTTGATTTTATGTTTCAATGAAGAGCATTTGTAATTTATTGTTCACAAATGCTCTCAATCTAAACTCACTAAGCTCAAGCTGTTTTGCAGGTAGCATGGGTAAACATTTCAGTCTCTTGATGTGCAGATCTGATAGGGATATACCTCAAGGGAGTTGCAGCTATCATCACAGCAAGCAAAACAGCTACGACATATTAACTCCACCAGGCAGAGTAATTTTGCGCACTGCAGTCTTCAGTTTTTTTTTTTTTTTTTTAAGTTTATGATATCCAATAAATGTCATTCCACACCGGTCTTTTCTATGTCCTGTATGGTCAATGGAGGTATTTTAGCTAACATGGACCTGATAATAATAATAAAACTTTATTTATCTCACATTGGAGAAATGTATCTCTTCATTTAACCCCTCCCCTTGAGGAGCAGTGGGCTGCCATTGTGCAGCGCCCAGGGAGCAGTGTGGGGTTAAGGGTCTTGCTCAGGGACCAAGAGTGGCAGTCTGGGGGAGTAGGGGGTCGAACTCCCAATCTCAGGATTCAAAGCCCTATTCCCTAACCACTAGGCCGCCACTCCCCCTCGCCTGTCCTCTACTCATTTTTATTTCAAAATAAATTTTTTCTTTTCTTTGTCCAGTTTGAGTATCCTTGTCCAAGCAAGGGAGAGACGTGTCTGAACAAGCAGAAGGCAGAAGTCTCTGATTAAGAGCGAATACTAATTTGCTAAAGGCCCCTGAAGTTGAAGGCCACATAATTTTTGATGGTTGGTTCATTAAGTAACTTGCGGTATAAAATCGACATGGTAAAATGGTTCTTCACCTTTTGAGTCCAAAAATTTAGGGAATACAATGATTTAAACTAAAACCTATTCTTTTTCTTAAATGGGACTTTGATTTGGAAATGTTCCAGTGTGGTTTGTTCTATTGTTGCTGGTGTTTGGACAGCTCCCTGGTTTGGTGTTGCATCCAAGGTAGCAGTTTGGAGATAAAAAAGTTCATTTTAGTCTAAACACCATCCTGAGGCTCTTCCTTCATTATTAATGTTTTTCAATGTTTAGAAATATGGAACAGATAACATTTTATCATTTATTTGTTTTTGCCATTTATTTAACTAAACAAAATCTATAATTTCAAAACTCTTCAGAAAGAAAATAGAATGATTCTCTGTACATTATATCAACGTTGGGATTTTTAAAATAATCTGTTTTATTCAAACAAGTATCAGAATTTTATTTTATTTGAAAACAGGAACAGAAATAAATCAGGATAACATGAATCAAATCCAGAGGAAAAAAAATCACATAAAGTAGAACTGCAGCAAATATACTAACAGAAGTTTTAACATATGAAAGTATAAAATTTGTCAAAAATTAGAAGCCGGCAGAACCACATAATTTCTGTTGATTGAGAAAACTGCACATTTCAATGAACTTTGACTAATGAATGAAATGAAAAAAATGAGAAACAGAACATCCTGATTATCAATCTAAAGCTTTGATAAGAAACTAACAAAAAACAACATGTAGATCTTAGACTCTTTAGACTCACCTCAGCACAAAGATACTGAGGAACCAGGACTTAACACCGAAAAACCAAACCCAGGATGCAGAGGATCAGTAAATGTGGTGCTGAAGGTGTGGAGGTGGATCAATGAGTCAGAGGAGACACTGTAAAAGGACAAAACACCAGCAGGATAGTCTACATAGACTGCTACTCTGTTAGAGACAGAAGGCGAAGGGATAGATGCTTCTCTGTTATTGTGCCACACTGAACAGCCACCACCCTCAGAGCATCTCAGACACCAAGATTGATTATTCAATCCAAAAAAAACGTGTCTCATGTCTCCTCTTCTCCTGATTCTCTGGTAACTCACTGATATACAAATATTTCCTTTCCACTCAACCTCCCAGTAACAGCGATCAGTCAGAACAGTTCCACACAGAAGCTGAGGAAGATCAAATCTCTGTGGATGGTCAGAATAGGACTGAAGCTCTCCCAAACATGTGACCTTCCTGTTGTCCTCAGACAGTTTCAGGTATTTGTTCACTGTCTTTGTGTCGATGGTGATCTGACAGGAATCTGATGGAGAGAACAAACACAATCCAGCTGCAGTTATTGATCATTTATTGAACTTTGATGACAAATCCTGAATGATTGATGGACAGTTTGAAGATGGTTGAATGTGAGCTGCTTTGCTGTCATGAATCCAATGAAAAACTAACTTACACTTCCTCAGACCTGGTTTCAACAATTGTTCTCCAGCAGGCTCCAACCTGAAAGGAGGGGAGTTAGACCATCAATCTCTTTCAACATGCTGGCATGGACGTCACATGTCTCTCTGACACAAAATCATTTCGGATGAGGTTTTTCGTACTTAGTTTTCACCGGTTACAAGGTGTGTATCTCACCACTGGTGTTCATGAAACAGTTATCTGTGGGGGAAAATGTTAATTTCTTGGATCTCCTTGTTTTTAGTTCAAGCGAGATCCTGGTCAACCTCTACCTTTTTTGTCCTTTTTGGGCCAATTCTCCAGTTGTGCAAGAATTGTTTTGATTGGGCCGAGTTTCAGCCTGATTGTGCATTGTATAGTGTACAGGGGGTAACGAGGGTTGATTAGCATCTAACAACCACCCCTGATTAGGAATTGTTGGGAGAAAATTGAACATGTTTAAAATTCAGTCAGCCGCGTGAGGTGTTTGTGGATAAATCCTGCTGTTGAAGCAGAGGTAAGAGCTGATTTACCAGAACATCGAGCACTGTGCATGTGCAAAAAAGGGAGTTCTTCTTCTAATACTTCTTCTAGATTGACGAGTTCGGCCAGCTCATCTCTCGGCGCTGAGTCTGATGTGTGGAGCTTGGACGTGCAGTTTGAGCAGGTAGATCGCTTCAAAGCACCGAGTCACACAATGTGAGAACATACATCGTAAGCTGTGAACCTTTAAACTCTTTGGTTTCGTCATACAGTTTGAGCTGTAGCTGCATGATTGAAAATATCACACAGAAACTAGTTCAATTTAATTTGGATTTGGATTTGTCTTTTCTGTCTGCTCTGTTAATTATTTGTTTCCACATGGAGCTATATTTGTCCCCCTGCTGTTCTCAAAACTATGTGATAAATGGACTGCTGGGTTGGTTTGTTTCCTATCCCATTTTAAATTAATAGCATTAGGTCATACTCCTCATTATCATGGCAATACCTCTATATCCTCTATTAGACTTTTCCTGCACATGCAGCAGGTTCCTCCATACCTGAGATCTTCCAGTCTCCACTCTGGATTCTTCTGTCCAGCCAACAGTAGCTTCCTTCCTGACTCTCCTGGATTATTGTAGCTCAGGTCCAACTCTTTCAAATGGGAGGGGTTGCAGCTTAGAGCTGAGGCCAGAGAAGCACAGCCTTCCTCTGAGATCAGACAGCCTGACAACCTGCAGAAACACAATTCAAGACAGGATTACAGCATGACAATGTTCTGGTAGAACTCAAGTGCTGCAACAAATATTTTCAGAATTAAAAAACAATAAACTGGAGCTTAACAGGTTAAAGCAACACTGTGTAACTTTTAGCCACTAGGGGTGCTAAACTTGTAACTTTCAGGTTTGACACTCCTGAAAATAACCGAAAGCACTGCATGTCAGCTAAATGACTTTCAATGTTTTAAAATCTGGTGGCAGATCACTTTGGACCAGTTAAGTAAGTTATGGAGTTCCTGATAAATGCAAGGCCATATTCACCCATTTACCTTAGAGTTTCTAGTTTGCAGTTTGGACTCCTCAGGCCAGCACATAGAAGCTTCACTCCTGAATCCTGCAGGTTGTTGTTACTCAGGTCCAGTTCTCTGAGACTGGAGGACTGGGAGCTGAGAACTGAGGACAGAGCTGCACAGCTTTTCTCTGAGAGGTTACAGTAACTCAGCCTGAGGAGACAGGGAGGAAAATCTGTCATTACAAATCCATCAATGCATGAATAAAATTTAGCTAAGATGAAGGATTAAGCTGTGGTCTTGATTCGTGGAAAATAATGGTCAGAAAACAAAGTTGAGAAAAAGTTTTTGAAATAAAATATCCATCTTTTCAAATAACAGTTAATGGAAAGAAGTCTTCCAACAGAATGGAGATCATTTACCTGAGAGTTTCTAGTTTACAGTTTGTACTCTCCAGTCCAACAGATAGAAGCTCTACTCCTGAATCCTGCAGGTTGTTGACATTCAGGTCTAGTTCTCTGAGACTGGAGGACTGGGAGCTGAGAACTGAGGACAGAGCTGCACAGCTTCTCTCTGAGAGGTTACAGTAACTCAGCCTGAGGAGACAGTGAGGAAAATCTGTTATTAAACGATTGATCACTAATGCTGTTTATTTCTTTCCAGTCAGCAACAATATTTTCCCACTGGCCCAACAAAAATTTGTTTAAGCCTCAGAACAATGGGCTTTTAGTGGCAGTGACGGTGAATGACAGCTCACTGACGTGTGTCTATCCAGGTCAAACGACTCAGAAAGCAACCCGCTTTAAAATCTCCTCGGCTCTGATCGGCATGTTGTGGGAAAACCAGAGCCGGGTTAACCCATTAAATTACGTAATACCACGCCACGCCAGTCGCTACTGATCTAAAAAGCAGAAACAACTCTGTTTACATTTGATAAACATTGAGCAGCTCTGGTGAGAGGGAAACAATAAAGCACACTGACGACACCGTGGCTTCCTGAGATGTTGCTCTCCATTGTTTACTTTCCTGATATCTGTTGTACTGTGACATCATCAATGGCAACCCAGCATGATGGTGTTACTAGAAACGCAGCGGCGGGGGGTCAGACGCCAGGCAGCTGTCATCAAGGGGTTAGACCAAGGAGCCAAATCCTGATTGTTAGATGGTTGACCCATGTTTGATAAACCTGCGTTTACCCACTATTTTCAGTTGGAAAGAGACTTAAGAGACATCTATAGAACTGTCTGATACTATGTATTTACATAGCTATTGTCGTTTACTATAAATCAACATGAAACCATATTCAAATATCTCACTATGAACATAAATACAGTAACCATACAGTTACCATCAGTGTCCTTACAGAGCTTTGTTGGAGGCTTTAACCACGGGAAGCAGCCTCAGAAGAACCTCCTCTGAAGCAGAGTATTTCTTCAGGTCAAACACATCCAGAACTTCTCCTGATGTGACTAAGATGAAACTCAGAGCTGACCACTGAGCAGGAGACAGTTTATATTTAGAGAGATGCCCAGAACTCAGATACTGTTGGATCTCCTGGACCAGAGAACGATCCTTCAGTTCATTCAGACAGTGGAACAGATTGATGCTTTTCTCTGCAGAAACATTCTCACTGATCTTCTCCTTGATGTACTGAACTGTTTCCTGATTGGTCTGGGAGCTACTTCCTGTCTGTGTCAGCAGACCTTTTAGGAGTCTCTGATTGGTCTGCAGTGAAAGTCCCAGGAGGAAGCGGAGGAACAAGTCCAGGTGTCCATTTGGACTCTGTAAGGCCTGGTCTACAGCTGTCTGATGGAGAGACTTAGGACACAAATTCCTGAATGTTGTAAAAAACAGGAAGGTTTGTGTTTTTTGTTTTTCCA